GTATATATCAGATGTTCTTGAGCATACTGGAGATAGCATGATCTCGCAATATCAAAAACTTGTATCAAAATTAATCACTGGATGTATTTGGACACATGTGTGGAAATAATAGTATAAACTGATAAGAGCAGAGCGTATTACAACTCTCTTATAGATGCATCATGAACCTTAAACATTACTACTGATATGGATTACCTGCAACTAGGAAATGAGATCCTAAATAGGTGCCTAGAAGCTCCATTTCAGCTGTTGGACAGTTGATGACTCGGTCGTCTCAATCATCTAATCATGTCAATATATGGAAATGTGAATATGTGCAGAAATCAAAATGAATGAAATATCAATCTGCAAATTTAACCATGGAATGTGAACCATACGTATGGAAAAATCTTTGCAACAACCTTGCCTGTATTCTTCAATCAATACAGAGTATGTACCTGAAAAACATTGCCTTCAAGCATGTTTTGTTTCTCCATCGATGTGCTTCTCCATAGATAAAAGCGTCTGTACAAAACAGTACCCAGATTTAAGAAGCATGGAAGATACTTTCTGCAGAAAACAAGAAAGGAGCGATCTTATTATCGTTGCTTCTATTTGGAGTATTGTAACGAGTTAAAACAACCAATAAAAATGCTTTTGCAGCTTAGTACAGTAACAAAAACTAGGAGGCAAGGCCACAAGCTGGGAGATGACATTCGCCTAAGGCAATGGACAGTTCCAAGCCGAGCGCTCGCGGAAGGGCTGAATCATGGCGCTAAATCACTCCTTAGACGAACTACACATTAAAAGCATTTTTAGATAACATAAGAGTAAATAAATATCTAGAACTTTATTGTCTTTTAAAAGCCTGGAAGTTGGAACAACACATTACAAATCCCAGTACACTTGCTATAATCCCCTGTGTTGGCTCCTGCTGCCGAGCCCTGTTTTTAGAAAATGGCATGCTAAGTTCTGAAATTATTTACCATATTTGGAATAACATCTTATGGAATTTTGCAGTACGATCCAATTCAAATAAAGCAACAACAGCTTAGGCATTGAGTGATGAATAACAGTTCATGCAAGTTTTTTTAGCACAACATAACAATGACAGTGAACAGGTTCAGTTAAACAACCCTAATGATTTATTTTTCTGCACGGAACAACTCACCTCTCCAAGAACCAATCATGTTTCCCTATCCTCCTTGAAATCAAGGAACTGTAGCCTCCACTAGGCCCATCACGGGAGCAGCAGCACCAGCTGCGCCGCAGCCTCCAAGATGCTCTGAGAAATACAAGAATGCTGTTGAACCTTTTAAATTTTTTCGTTCTACAAAAATCAATGTTCTCTGGATGAAAATATTTGCTTTGCACAAAATTCAGGCAGAAATATTATAGATAATTTGCATGAACTCTAATATCAAGAACCCCAACATTCAGGCAGAAACATTACAGAGATCTAATATAAATGTAACTCCTCATGCACCGCAACACAAGTCAGAAAAATGTTTAGGAACAGAACCTACTAATGCACAGTGAAAAGAAATTGCATTCATACTAAATCCGCTTTCAAGATGGTACATCAGACTCACCATGGTTGACTTGCAGACTTGCGGTTTGGAGGAGATGGCACCCACGGAGAGGGACGACACTGGAGTTGGAGCAGGCCATCCAGGGAAGGCCATCTAGAAGGGGGGAGCAGACATCGGATGGCGTAGATCGGAGTCGATTTGAAGGAGCCTGCAACAGATCTGCGGGCAGAGAAGTGGGATGCGCATGCTGCGGTAGGAAGGGCGCGGAGATGGGCACTGGGCGGAGCTCGGATGGGGACGGGGAGGCGCTCGGGTGGAAGGGGAGGGGCGGCGGCCGGGCGGATCTGGAGGTCGGAGGAGACGAAGGATTGGGGGCAGGGTGGGCTCGGGAGATTTTGGGGGATTTTCTTCCATGGGTGTGGCGCGATATAAGGCACCAAAACGGGCTCCGCGGCGCGAAAGTAGGCAAATTTTCGCGGCGCGCTAGCGGTTTTAGAGATGGGCCGCGCGAACCCCATGGTATATACTTCTGTGGGCTGAGCACCGACAGCAAAAACCAAATTTTCTGTGGGCCGATTGCGGGCCCGACAGGCAAAGGATTTGGCGCACAGAAAAATTACAGTTTCTGGTGGTGGGTGGTCTATGGATCTGTATGTAATTTTTATTATTTCTCGTGTTCGTTGTACTGCCGTGATTGAAAGATGAATAGATCGAAACTTTTCTCCAAAACAAGTAAATGTACTATGAAAAAGTCACGCAAAAAAAAACTCCTGCAGAAAAATGTACTGCTCGTATGAAAATCTTCCTATATACAAAAAAATATATTATTTGAGACAATAAAAAAAATATTATTATCATTTGCATGGATTATCTGGGCCCAGTTTCTTTCTCCTTTAAGATAATTGTGCTTCTAACCGGGCCAGCCCATCAGACAAATATGTCCAAGTGCGACAGGAGATGAGGTGAAGTGAACCTACAGGTGGCAGCACAAGAGCAATAGCGGCGGCGGCGTCTTCCTCGCCGTCGCCGCCGTCTCCCTCCGCTCCGATACAATCCACGCCCTTCTCCGTCCGCTTGTAGGTCAAATCCTCCTTCTTTACACACACAGTTCAGTAGTTCAGTGTCATGTTTACAGTTATGAATGAAAATCCATTGAGATAGAACTAGATGATCTTTTGTTGTCACCGGCATGATCCGTGCTAATTTCTGGAAATGAAATGCAGAAACCGGCTAGGATGAATTTCCTCCCCTTCTGAATGTTGTACGAGTTAAAAGTGAGACTCCGATGTGGGGATTGATACTCTGGAGTGTATTGATGCCATGGCTTGTGATATGTAGCTGAAGCAAAAACAAGACTAGCCTGATACACCTACAGGTGCCTCATGCCATGTGTGATAGGTAAATGAAAGCAGAGACTGGACTAGCTATCACAATTCCTGGTATATTTCTTGTATTGTCCCATTATAATTCAATCCTTATACCATGCCTTGGAACGTTATACGTCGTAATCGCATCACTGGAACTACACATCCTGCTATTTCTAGATGATGAGGATATGACTTACCGTGCCATGCGGTTGCCGTGTGTGTTATGGTGCCAGTCAGACCGATTGAGTGAACTACTTGAGCTTGCAAAGATAAAAATAAAAATAGAAGTAGTACACATTATATATTCAAGTCGGCTTGTCGAGTGATACTTCATGCTTCTTTTCTGAATTGTCTGTATCACAATCGCCAACCAACCGTACTTTCCTTGCAGTTTTGTAACCATCCATCCTTGACCCCTACAGGTGACTGATGCCCTGTGTGATAGGTAACCGAAGCAAAGACTAGGCTAGCTTACAAATCAGGTACCTTCATTTGTCTCATTATAGGTCACAGTCCCATCAGTGGAAGGGGAACCACATATCCTGGTATCTAGATGCGAAGAACATCCTGCTATCTAGATGAGAAGGACATCCTGGTATGTTGAATATCACTTACCATGCCTTGCGGTTGCCGTATTTGTTAGGTTTTTGCGAGCATAAGACATATAAATCACATCAATGGTCCTAGTCAGTCTACCCTCCACCAGTGACTTTTCCTCTGAACCCAAGGACAGATCCACTATAGAATAAGATCCAGACCGGAGTTCACAAGCATGCATACCTTCAGACCCAAATACCCGTAAGAGAGAACCCACACTGAAATATGTCTGACCTCGCGATTCTTGTCCAAGGAACTCTGATATCTTTGTTGTGCCTGCTCCTCTCCTTTCCACCACAAGCCACAGCCTCTCCCCTCCATGAACCAGCTTCAAATGGGAGTTGTGTCACGTACGAGAGGGACGCGCTTCTCTCCATCAAGGAGAGCCTCTGGGAGCCCAGTGTCAACCTGTCGTCATGGCAAGGTGAAGAATGTTGCAACTGGAAAGGCGTCAGGTGCAGCTACAAAACCGGCCATGTCGTCAAGCTCAATCTTCGTGGAAGTGCTCAAGACTGCCTCAGATACTCTGCATATAGAGGTGCGATAAGCCACTCCTTGGTTACTTTACAGCAACTGAGGTATCTAGACTTGAGCTGCAATAGCTTCAACTTGTCCAAGATTCCGGAGTTCATTGGTTCTTTCCCAAGACTTAGGTATCTCAACCTTTCATACAACTCGTTCTATGGGAGAGTACCCCCGCAGATCGGGAATCTCTCCAAGCTTGTGTACCTTGATCTCAATCCCTCAAACTACAACAACCCATTGTACTCAAGTGATCTTCAGTGGTTATCGCACTTGTCGTCACTGAATATCCTCAACTTGAATTATATTAACCTTACCACTGTAGTGGACTGGGTCCACCAAATTAACATCCTTCCAAACCTTAGAAAGCTTTATCTACAACATACTGGCCTCAGTAGAACACCTCCTTTCCTTGATCAATCCAATCTACGACACTTGAGGTGCTTGACATCTCATGGAACAACTTCAACACCACCATTGCTCCCAACTGGTTTTGGAACTCAACGTCCCTCACTTATCTGAACTTGCAAAATTGTAGATTCTATGGCCCTATTCCGGAACACATTGGCAGCATGTCCTCTTTTGAAGCAATTTATTTCCCGGGTAATGATCTCATGTCCTCCATGATACCATCAAATTTCAAAAATCTGTGCAACCTGAAGATACTAGACCTATCAGCCAGCAACATCTCAGGGGATATCACGGAGTTGATGGAGCGATTACCGAACTGTCCTTCAAGCAAGATGCAAATGTTGGATTTGTCTGGAAATAGGTTAGGTGGGGCCATGCCCAATAGGCCAGGACCTTTAGCGAACCTAACCATTTTGTCCCTGACTCAGAATGAGCTTACAGGACCTATACCGAAATGGATATGGTCATTGACTGACTTGCTTGTTTTGGGACTAGATGAAAACAAACTAAATGGCGCATAGTCACTGAAGATCACCTAAAAGGCCTCACAAATTTGAAGATCTTAAGTTTGAGCAGAACACTTCTTCAGATTATGGTCAGTCCAAATTGGGTTCCTCCATTCAGGCTACTAGCGGTTACCTTATCATCTTTGAAGCTAGGACCAGCATTCCCACCATGGCTTAGATCACAGACAAGCCTTGAAATCCTTCAGATTAGAAATGCAAGCATAGCTACAATCCCAGAATGGTTTTGGGTTTCATTTTCAAGGGCAATGTTTGTGGATCTGATGGATAATCACTTAACAGGCACACTACCAGCAAGGTTGGAATTTATGGCAGCAGATGTAATGATATTATCCAATAACAGACTTACCGGTGCGGTTCCAAAATTTCCGAGAAATATTACATACATGGACCTATCAAGAAATTCTTTTGGGACATTGCCGTCAGATTTTAGAGCCCCACACTTAGAGGCTCTTATTCTTTATAACAACTCAATATCAGGCCCCATTCCATCTTCATTATGTTCATTGTCACAGTTGGTTATGCTAGACCTATCAGGGAATAACCTCACAGGAGAAGTTCCAAGTTGCCAAGAGGGTTCAGTCAACCCACTGCTGCATAATCTTATGGTGGTAAATTTAAATACCAACAACCTCTCTGGAGAGTTCCCAAGAGTTCTCCAAAACTGTCATTACCTCGCACTTGTAGATCTTTCATATAACAGATTTTCAGGAGACATACCTGCCTGGATAGGGGTGAAGTTACCGAACTTAGCATTGTTACGTCTGCGGTACAATATGTTTTCCGGCCAAATTCCTATTGAAATTGGAAAGATTCAAGAGCTACAGTTCTTAGATCTTGCCCACAACAAGTTCTCTGGCAGCATTCCGGACTCACTAGTTCACTTGAGTGCAATGGCCCGTACTTCTGGATATAGTTATGTTCTCAACTCTGTCATCCGTGCTGGACGAGGGCCTCATTTGTACAACTCAATATATGTAGTAGGTTTTTTCATAGAAAAGGAATCTTTTCTTACTAAAGGGCAACAACTTGAATTTTCTGAACAAATCCCATACATGGTGGTTCTTGATATGTCGTGCAACAATTTAACTGGAGCTATCCCTCAAGATATTGGTGCTCTAATTGGATTAAGAAGTCTGAACTTTTCATGGAACAACTTAAGAGGTGCAATTCCTGAGAAAATTGGTGGGCTCCAGCAATTGGAATCTCTTGACCTGTCAAACAATGAGCTATCAGGCCAAATCCCTTCAAGCATGACAGGTCTTACCTCTTTGAGCCATATGAACCTGTCATACAACAATCTTTCTGGAAAGATACCAACTAATAATCAATTCCAGACTTTTGACGCATCTGACTACATTGGGAACATTGGTTTATGTGGTTACCCCTTGACGAACAACTGTACAGGAAATAGTTCAAGTGGACCTACAAATGCAGATCATGGAGATGGATCCGATGATATATCCCTTTACCTTGGTTTGGCTGTTGGGTATATCCTTGGCCTTTGGGTGGTCTTCTGTGTGCTGTTGTTTAAAAAAAGATGGAGCACTGCTTATTTCGTATTTGTGGAAGGGCTGCAGGACAAGATTTATGTGGCAATGGTACTGAGATGGGCCAATTTGAAGAGGAAAGTAGGTGAAACTTAAATATATTTTTTTATGTTATCTATGATAATCATCATGTATGCATTCCATCAAGAACTCTTTTCTATAAATGGCTCATATGTAATAAACGTTGTGCTATTTATTTACCTTCTTCTATGTATTGTAATTGTATTTTCCTCTTGATACTTTTAAGTTGAGAATTGATTCTTGTCCTGTACTACTGTTGATATGCTATATATTCAAATCAATAAATTTTTCCTTCGGACACATGTTTCAGCTTGTGATGGTGATGCTGCCAATTTTTGTCATGGTGATGGGCTAGAATTCCAATTGCAATACAAGAGCAAATCATGTTGGCTGCTAGTGATGAAAAACAAGATGAACTGTAATGTAGTACTCCCTCTGTTCGAAAATTAATGTCGCTGGAGGGTTCAAATTTGAACTACTGTGCTTTTTACCAAAACCCCCTTCCATAGATTTGAATTATCTAAAATCAACCCACGCGTGCGGGCTCCAAGCGTGGGAAGATCCTGCCGCCGGCCTGGCCCCAGGCCGGTGGAGCTCCGGCCGCTGACCTACATCTCTCCTGCAGCTTCTCCTCGCACTCCGGAATCAAGGTCGTCTTCTCTCACTCAGGTCGCCGCTTCCGCACACGAGATCAACGCTGTCGCGCCTCCTCGGTCCTCCCCTAGCAGACCAGGAACTCCGCCGCACCGAGAACTATCCCCTCTTCGAACCACACTTGTTGGGAAGCGGTGTATCGACGGAATCGAGGCCGTCTCCTCCTACTCCGGCCGCCGCTTCTGCACAGGAGCTCGGCGCGTCTCTGAAGCTGATTGTTGCTTATCCATAGTGGAGCTTGTGCTGCTGTTCATCCACTGTCGATTGTTGCTGATCCACCGAGGCGATTGCTGCTATCCACGGTGGAGCTCCTTCTCTGCTGATCCCTGTCTCTGACACCAAAGCTCCATCTCTGCTGATCCATGTCTGAAAAAGAAGAAGAAGAAGGTGTTGTAAAGTGTTGATATTCCTGCAGTTAACTGTTCCGAAATTTTGGTGATCAGCAGAATATTTTGAAGCAATTTCCATTGATCCACAGTATTTCCGCAGTAAACTTGTAGATTGTTCTAATGATCATCTGAATCTTGACATTAAACTGCACCTGTTTGTTTACTGAAATTTGTGTGTTGTATACTGAACTCCCAACTGGAGTAGTAGTTTGTTTCTCAAGTGATGGTGAGGTGTTCCTATCAAAATTGTCAGAGAAACCATAAGTACTTCACAGGTCCAAGTTAACTGAAATTTGTCTGCGTTACAGAACAATTTCAGTTAACTGTAGAACTCCAAACTTTCACAAGCACACAACCCACTACCACCCAGGACAGCAAATCCTGGGTCCATGTGGACAGCAAATCATTAAACTTTAGCCAGAATCTCTGAATTTCTATCTCTGAACCATGTGGCAGCAATAGGCTAATTGCTTCAGTGCTCAACCATGTTATGGACAGATTGGTGATGAGCATGTTGCTGCGAAGAGATTGGATGGCACGAGTCACGGGAAATGGAATTCTTTGCAGTGGTTCAGACCATTGGAACCATCAACCATGTACATTTGGTGAGGCTAATTGGATTTTGTGCTGAAAAATCACATAGGCTCCTTTACTATGAATACATGCCAAATGGATCATTGGATAGGAGGATTTTTCAAAAGCACCAAGAAGCCCAACTTGACTGGAAGACCAGATTGAGGATTATAGCTGATGTAGCGAAGGGCTTAGCTTATCTTCATAGGGACTGTCGGTAACAATACAGTACAGTTTGGAGCAGAGCAGTACAGTTTGTAATAAAAAATCTTTATTCCCTCCGCGTATAAAGTTTACAAATACCAAGCATGGAGTTTGGATCAACAAAAAATCATAAGATTACAAATCATAAGCATAGAGTTGGGATCAACAAATAAATCCTAAATTTACATAACAAATTCAGACTAGATTGAGCAGAACAAATTCAGACTAGATTGAGCAGAACAAAAGAAAAATCTTATGCCTGATCAGCCCGCGGGAGGGGGCTGAACCTGCTGGCCAGTTCCGGCGGCCGCGCCGAGTCTCCTCGCCGAGCTAGAGCACTTTGTGCAGCCGGATGGTCGTCGGTGTGTGCAGCCTGGGCCGTGGAAGAGTCGTTGGCTGGTCGTCGATGTGTGCGTGCGTTGGTACCGGCGTGCAGGTGCGACGAGACCAGAATCGTGGTCTAAGGCGTCCAGACAGCGTGCAAGTGGTCAATGACGGCTATGCCGTCGAGGATGTAGTCGGAGAGCATGTCAGGACCCCAACACTTGGTTAATCCCTGAAATCAGAATATTACTGAAGAATTTGACACTACTGGACACCCGCAGCTCACTTAACCTTCCGCTGCGGCTGATGACTCGACACCGTCCATCTTGGATCCAAGGGGTCATAGTCACCCACTGTCCGGCATAAGCTCTCTTTGTAATCTCCCAAATTCTAGTGAAGCTTTCCTCTGAGATTAGTAGAACAGTGTGACATGATGAGGTTCCTCTGTTTCTTTGCATTTCAAACTAGTTCAATTTGCGAGACTTGCACTACAACAAGTCAAGATAGATGTGTACTAGCAGCAGCAAACAGATTGCTAGCCTCTACTGAAAATTGCTCGCACATCAGGCACACATGCATGCATTGCCGTGATAAACTGATGATTGAATAGTTGCTGCTCCGAGTGTACTTATGTTATGCCTCTTCAGATTGTTTGCTGGTGTCAATCCGGTTGATATGCAAGACGCTCTCACCCTACGAAATTAGTATTCAACCAGAGACATGAACAAATCTTGTCACAGATTTCGAATGGAAATACTACAGTTGGTGCCAAAATAAATATGATTGGAAATAAACGCATAAGAGTACAAGACCTTGTGCTGAAAAACTGCAGTTCGCAAAGTCAAAGGAAATCAAATGTATCATATTTTTCATATCATGTCTTGTTACATGTGAAAGAATGAGTGCAGCCACAGCAGGTGTGTTTCCTTTGAATCAATCTGCTGAACTTGAATAAATATGTATAAGAATTATACATATTTGAGCAGCAACAAACAGAGTTCTCTTAAAATCGAGAGAGAAAACATGTAGATAAAATCTGTGTCAACAATTATAATTACAAGTTCTCCTCATCAAGTTGATCCGTATCATAGTAAGAATCGTTTGCCATCTTGTTAAGGGAATCAGCGGTTGCAACTTGATCTGGTCACGGAGCATAAGTTCAGAGGTCACCACCAGCCACCAAACTTGAGTAGCGTCTTGTGACATAGTCGGTTGGATCTTCCACTTCTCCACGCAGCTGAATATATTTGTGTTCACAGGCCGACAACACCGTGTATCAGAAATTGCAAGTATATGTACAACATGTAGCAAGATATCTAGAAAAAGGAGTTTGTTTCTGAACTGACCAGTTCACTTAAGATGACCACGGACTTGTCGAGGCACTGCGAGCTTGTGGCTAGCTCGGGCAAGGGATCAATCATACGGCTTCCAACTTCACACTTTCAGAACATTCAGTGTCCTTGGCAACCACTGAGTTGTTGGGAACATGGTATTCTTTATTAATGTGAGCTGCAGATGCATCAGGAATAGAAACAGAGGAAGTAGCAGGATCGAGGCGTTCTGACAGACACTTGATGTGTTCAGCAAACAAAAACAGGAAGAGGTGAGTGGAAGGTACCAGCAAAGAGACGAGACCATCACCAGTTACAAAGAGGCGAGCAGCATCAGCATGAATTGTAAGTGTAAAGCAGATCGTCATGACTGCTGGAGACAAAAGAAAGAGACGAATACTGTAAGTTACAATCAGCAATTAAAACATCCATCAGCCAAGAGGAGAAGTTAGGTAGCTGACCTGACGACGTTCGTACAAGTCTCTGAGAGGAGGGATGCTTCCTCTTCCTCCTCTGTTTCTACAACATCCGATCCTTTTGCGATGTTCCCCAAGTCATGCTTGCTGCGGTCCTCTTTGAGTTGCAGCACGGGATGGTTGGGGTGTGCGTCCACTTCAGCTTGCAGCATACCGAGGTTCGCCACTTTCCCGTGGTAACCAAGTGAAATCTGCTTGAGCACTGGAAGGTGATTGATACCAACAATTCCTGATTCCAACTTGCACCAAGTGAATTCTATCATTTCCATCTTGGGCGAGGAGCCCTTCTCGAATCTCACCTCCCTCAGCTCATACTGACTAGTAATGCATAGTGTTCTCAGATTCACAAATGCTTCTTCTCTGAACACTAGCTTGTTCCCAACATAAGCATAAATATTTAGACGGAGGAGCATGAGCTTGGGCAGCCTTCCTAGCATTTCCGTGACTTGACCTTCCTTTAGGTGGCTCCGCTTCAAGTGAATCTTCACCAAATGCTTCAGACTTCCAACCCACTCGGGCATCTTCCCTCCAAGATCTCCAAGCAACTTCAACTTATTTAGCAGGGGAGGAGGGGAGGAAACATTATGCAACCACTCGAGTGATCCATTATGGTCAACATCCAGACTAAGAGAGCGCAGGGAAGAGAGCTTCTCTATGGCGGCACCGAGATACAATATCTTGCGTTTTTGCTCGGCAAACCTTCCTTTACCTACCATGCTTAGTTTTCTTAGCTGAATAAGCTCCCCCAACTCTTTAACTGCCTTCTTGCTAGTTTGATTGATGTCCACCACTTCTAGTATCTGTAGCTCCTTTAATTTACTGATCCCTCTTGGAATCACCACACCATCTGTCTTGGACCACCGGCTAGAGTATCCCATATGTAGCTCAGCAGTTACTTCAGCACGATGATCAGCATCAGCTAAAGGTGTGCATAGCATTGGCAGGCGCAATGTGTGCATCAAACAGTCCATGGGTTCATCCTTATCAAAAAAGTCGTATGAATACCATCTGCTACAGCGAAGGCTGCGGAGACTATGGAGTTCAGTGATCCCAGTTGGCAGTGCTGCTATAGAACTCCTTCCAATGTCTAAGTTCTGTAATCCTCGTAATTTCCTTATAGACTTTGGAAGAGAATATATACATGAAGCTCCTTTAAGATCCACATATTTCAAATGGCGCAACAACCCAATGTTGTTGATATCTTTTTGTCTAATTTTAAACAGTGTATTCTTCAGATCCAAGGCTCTAAGCATCCTCATGCCGGTTGAACAAACTGAAGGTGAGGGGCCCATGGGTCTATCACCAAACATTGTCAATGACCGAACATGGCTCCAATCCACACCAATATTCTGGCACCCGCTACCATGGTATGCTACATGACGGAAGTTTCCATCTACTACACCGGCTTCACTATCTCCCATGAGGTGCACGAAGTTTTCATCTCTAGAAATTGAGACCATTACATCTCGCATGATATCATGGACCCGGCAGCTCTTAACAATTCCTTCTATGTTCACTTTTGATGGTTGAACCATGTTTCGGTTGATTAGCTCATTGAAATAACCTATTCCAACATCCTCAACATTCACTCCACCACTAGCTCTAACAAACCCCTCTGCTATCCATCTATCAACCAAACGTCTTCTCTTGATTTCAAAATCCTCCGGAAAGATGCTTAAATATAGGAAGCATGATTTAAGATGAGATGGCAAGTGGTTGTAACTAAGAGTGACCATCCTCCTCATTGCTTCAAGGCTTCGGTTAGTCCCAAGCTCTGAAGGGATCTGCTCATAAATACTCTCCCACATTTCTACCACTTTGGTAGCAAGCAAACCTCCTATGGTGAGTATAGCCAATGGTAAACCACCACACTTATTTACTATTTTGGAAATCATGTTCCGCATCTTTTCATCACTTTTTGTTTCTGCGTGTGTTTTCCCAATCGTTTTCAGAAGCAAATTTGTTGCTTGATCTATCCGTAAGTGTTTAAGGTGGTAAATAAGCGATTTGGAAGTACACTCCTGAGCTAGGCCAATATCTCGTGTTGTTACAATTATCCGGCTACCTTTGATGTTGGTAGTAGGAAAAGCAATATCTTTGATCCACCCCCATGCATCAATGGTCCACAAGTCATCAAGAACAATAAAGTACCTCTTCTCATGTAGCTTTTCCCTAAGGTAGCTGGCGAGATCATCTACTTGCACTGTCTTCCCCTCAAGTTCCTTCAGCCGCTTCTTCAGTTCTTCATTTCCAAAAAGTTGCATGATCATATCCTTGAGCATCTCTATCTTGGAAAATGTCTGTGAGACTGTGATCCAAGCCCGGCAAGAAAAATTATTCACAGTATCTTCCTTACTTTCAAATGCTTTCCTGGCAAGAGTAGTCTTTCCTAAACCACCCATGCCAACAACAAATACCACCTTGGCTGCACCATCTTTAGTCTTGACATCAATCAACTTGATTAAATCCTTCTTCGGCTTGGAAAAGCCAACAAGTTCTGCTTCATCAATGTTGCTAGCAGAGTGATTGCGAACATCTTCCATGTGAGAATCCATGTCACCAATTGTGTTGGAGGCCTCCCCCTTGATCAAGTTGTAGCGTGTGTTCCTGATGCTTACTTCTTCAACTCTTGCTTTGAGATCACGGATCTGTGTGGCAATCCGATGACGATCTTTGAGCTTCATGAGCCGACGTAACAAGCTTTGGCTTCCAACATGCACCATGAACTCATTGAGGCAATCTTCAATGTTGTAGGACAGATCCCTTACTTGTTTTGCCCACACCTTCAGGAGCACATCTTTCTTGTTTATTGATTCAGCGACCTCCAGGAATGCCTCCATCGTCTCGAGTTCATCTTTAATGAACCTACCAAACCAGTGTTCAAAACAGAATTAGATCAACGAGGCTAGCTAGCGAGGAATATTTTCGAGAGCACAAATAAAAAAAATGGAGGATATTCACGATGATTTGATGATCTTAACAAAATTAAGAGGCACCTAGAGATGATGTGAATGTTAATGCGTATCCTTTCGGACGCCGACGAGGAGGCCCACCTCAGCGGCAGCGGCAGAAGCTGCCACGCTGATGGCGCCCCTCACCATGGACCTCGCCATGCTCACCACCGTCTCCGCCATCTCCGGCAGCGGGTACCGTATCAGTCTCTCGCAACAGAGTTGAGATCTCAGATCTCCGGGTGTGCTGATGACTCGGTGGGTGAAGCAAAGGAAAACAAGCTTAGACTGATTACAGCTCTGCAGCACTGTTTTCCTTTGTATACAGAGCGTACAGCCTACCACCGATTAATGTATAATAGTAGGCGATTAAACTGGATCTGATCACGTGCATTACACAGTAGTGGTTCAAACAACTACTCCTATGGAGCGCAGCTTTAGTCGAGGAGATGCATCAAGTCATGTGCATTAGCACGAGTCCCCGGGGACCCGGTAATTAAATTAGTGGATGATTACAGTAGTGGCTCAGACAACTCTACGGAGAGGAGTGCAGCGTGCGCTCAGAGGCAGCAGTGAGTGTAATAGAGGTGGCATCGAGTCGGTCAAATCCTCGAAAACGACGGCATGGCGACCAAGGCACAACGATAGCTGCTCCCTTGCATTTTGCAACGAAACCTACTAAAATTGAACCACATATTTGAATACATCCATTCATGTTAATTAAGAGCCTAGAACTGCGAAGTCTGAACAACAAGCAGCTGGGACTGGGAGTCCTATTCAAAACAAATGAACAAAGAAAAGGCTCAGCTGAAAATTACCAGAGAAGATGAAACTGTAGAACGGAACACTTCCCTGTAATAGAGATGGCATCCTGCGTTTCTGCGTGTGCCTCTTTCTATTCAGGCAATCAGGCTAGTCGATACTGATGATGGTGTGGAGCACTGTCGATCCTGTGGCTATTCAGATTGTTTGCTGGAATCGATTCGGTTGTTCAGTCAGTGCATCCAAATTGAAATTCACGAATTTACAACAGCTTGTATGTTCCACCGAACAGATAACTGTTTGAACTTAATTATATGATGTATACGACCAAGCTAAGCTTCAATCGGCTTCCAGGGTGTTTGTATAGTAGCATCCGCGTACTGGACAATATCAGGCTATGAAAACAATGATCTCAGATTCTCATGACATGAAAAGCTCCCTTTTTGCAAATAATTACAATTAAGTACCCCAAGTGTGAAAAGGGCACTCTGAACCTGTCAAGCATCTAAGCAGAGAATCGTATTTCAACAGTCAGTTGGCTCAGTGCTACCATGAGCAAGACCAACCTAAGATGAGAATATGGGTTACATCCACTTCACAAATACGATTACAACAAGTAGAGAAGACAGGGTTCGTGCCGATCCAATAATTCCTATAGGTAGGGCTTGCTTGCGCCGCGCACTTCCTCAATGGAGCCTCCTGCTTCTAGCCTTGCCCGGTACAACTCTGTCGGCAAGGAGACGAAAGGTGGTTCTTCCGACAGGAGGCAGCTTTGCATTTGTGAGGAGATGTCATGGTTGGGCCTTGAACGAGTTGTTATGGGCTGACGTAATGTATAAAGAGATGTCATTGCTCCGGGCCAGCCCATGAAAACAAGTTTTAGTCGACCATGCCCACCATGGTGAACTCTACATCTCTACCACCACTAGACTGACAAATCTTCAATGTGTTCCTGTCGCTTGTCTAATGCGTGACAACACATTAGCTAGACTACTCGTCATTATGGATGATGAAAAGCGGACATATAGCAATCTCATGAGTCGTCCTGCTATTTGTGTTGCTGGCTTTCGGCCTAGCATCATCTTCGTCTCCACATCCAGGAGCATCGTCTCCACTGCTCTATAAGCAAGCTTCTGGCGTCGTACAATATATTTTGAGAGCACAGTAAGGTGACTATACATGAAGGCGTCCTTGGGGAGCTTCTGTTCTCGCTCTTTCCTGTGCCTCGGACGAAAACCTAAGATCCTTCTCTGGATCAGACAACGGCGAATCCTCGGTTCGTTATCTGATGTGTGGGTTGAAGCGGTTGTTGGGTTGCTGGGTTGTTCGGTAGTGGAGGTGGAAGTGATATGTGGCGTCTTGGTCATCATGATTCTGAGGGTAGACCTATCTCTTGGGGGCTCGTGGCGGCTGTCAGGTCTCCGGTTTTGGTGCCCTTCAATGGCACCTGAGGTGTTGTTGCCTTGCATAGAGCTTTTGATCCTTCTATGTGCATCTGTAATGTCTTGCATAGTGTTATTGTCTTGTGCCTATGTGCATCCGTAGTGTCTTTACGACATTGCCTTATTGCAGAGGACGAGTGTAATTGGTATCTTCGTGATATTATTATATATTTTTTGTCAAAAAATAAAAGAACATGTCAACAACTCAGAGTGAAGAGAGTGCACGAGGAGACACTAAGGACCTAGTAGTAGCAACAGTTCAACTCTTGGCGTGAAAACAACAACTCAGAAGGCAGAGGAATTATTGGATCGGCACGATTCTCGGCCGGTAATGGAACAACGCGATCTTAATTAGTTACTGGTGACCGCGACGTTCCACTTTGGATAAAGCAATGTAGACAGCAAAATTAGGTGATGATTTATATCACTTCATGTATCCGAAAGGGAAATTAGGCTGGCCACGGTGCGCAATACTACCTCCGTAGTGTATCGTATCATATGACCTTATTTATGGCCATGCAAGACATATACTAGTGTCACTCGCAAAAAAAAGAGACATACACTAGTGTATTATTTATAAGGGAAAAGTATATTTTTTGTCCCTCGATTATTTCAAAAATATACAAATGGTCCCTCAACTTCAAAACCAGCAAAACTTAGTCTCTTAACTTTTTAAACCGGATAATTTTAGTCCCTCATGCAACTTTGGGTGGTTTTCTGCCGATCTTTGAGCGGTTTTTGATACTCGGCCATTATTTTCATTTAAGTCTATGTCACCTCATCGAAATTGCTATGTTAGCATGCATGATACTAGTTATAATACTGCCACTACATGAACCTAGTTTTAGTGCTTTCTCGATTTCATATTAATTATCAAGGATTTAGTAAATTAATATAGATTGGAGGGAGTAGTGATCCCTAAAAAAAATCCTATCCTTTGTAATATCCAGTCTTTAAAAATCACTACCACGTCTATTTAGCCCGGGATAATATGCTTGGTAGAACTACATTGTGTAATGAAGGAATAAATAGCATAAAACTACTACTTTACAGGCTAGGGTTCTAAAAAACTACAGGTTTTTAATTTTTCTCAGATAACTACCAGACGAGCGGTCGGCTGTTTCAAAAAACCCAAAACATTCGTTGCTAGCGATTTAAACTGTTTTATGACAGGTCGGGCCTACCCCTAAACACTTCGTTTGTTTGACCGTTTTGTTTGACTGTTACCTTACATGTGGGACCCACGTGTAAGTGTCTCTTCTTCCTCTATCTTCTTTTCTCTCCTCTGGCTCTTTCTTCTTCCTCCCCCTGCCCGACTACCCCCACTCGCCGACGGCCACCTCCACCATCCGTCTCGCGGTAAGACAAGGACGACGGCGGGAACGAAGGTCGCGCGGAGGAGCAGCTACAGCGCAGGAGCACGGGTCGCTGCCATCCGTGCGCCATGGCCAGGAGCGCGCCCGCGGCGCCCAGGAGCAAGGGTCGCCGCCAACTGCGCGAATGAGAATGGGCCGCCACCAGCTGGGGCAAGGAGCACGGGGCGACACCAGCCGCGCCATGGCCCAGGGGCTCAGCCGCCGCGCCATGGCCAGTGGCTCAGCCGCCGCGCCAAGGAGCACGGGCCACTGCGCGCCATGGCCAGGAGCAGCGGCAGCGGTCGGCAGGGAACCCAGCCACCCAGTCGGTCGCTTGGCTCGTGCCGAGGAACGCGGCGGCCGAGCCGCCTCGTTTCGCCTTGCCCGTGAGCTGGCCGCCGGCGAGCTACCGGCGTCGTCGTCTATGGGCGAATTATCCTCAAGGGCCCGATTGCTTTTTCTGAAAACATCCAGGGACTTGATTGCTTTTTCTAAAAACATCCAGGGACCTGATTGCTTTTTTCTGAGAACTTACAGGTGTTGTATGTAAATGTGTAAAAGAACATATTTTTTATTTTAGAATATGACAAAGGGACATTGACATGCGGACCCCACATGTAAGCTAACAGTCAAACAAACGGTCAAACTAACGGTTTTCTTACATGCGGGTCCCAACTGTCATAATCACGATCAATTTCAAAGCACTCTATGATTAGGGTTTTTTGAAAAAGCCGACCGCTCATTTGGTAGTTATCTGAGAAAAATTAAAAACCGGTAGTTTTTTTGAAACCCTAGCCTGTAAAGTAGTAGTTTTATGCTATTTACTCGTAATGAAGGGAGTACTAAGAATAAGCATCGCAACGGAAAAACATTCCAAGATGCAAGATCCACGACGCTTCAATTTATTCACGAAACAGCATGTCAACAACTCAGATCGAAGAGAGTGCACGTCTCTGCATTATTCATGACCACCACACACTAACGACCTAGCACCCTCGCCAAAATAAGAAATTGACCAAGTAGTAACAGTTCAACTCTTGGCGTGAAAACAGCTACTCAAAAGGCCGAGGAATTACTGGATCAACACGATCCTCCGTCGGTAATGGAACGATACGATCTTCTTCTTTTTTTGCCATGGTGGAACAACATGATCTTTAGTTAGTTACCGGTGACCGCGATGTTCCATTTTTGATAAAGCACCGTAGTGATGTACTCCTCCAGCTTGTCAACCATAGTGATCAGCAGCGCCTTGAGGATGCCGATGCATGAAGGAAACAACTGCGGCAACAAAGCGAGTTGAGAGGAGGTATTCTGCGTATGAAATGAACTGCTTCCTCGGTCCCATAATATAAGAGCGTATTCTATGTAAAACATAGGGTTTGGGAAACTGGCTCGACACCCTAAAACGGGGTGTGACTATCTCATTATATAGACGTATCAAGAGGTTCAATACAAGGTCTATACAAGACTACGTATATACAATCTAACACCCTCCCTCAATCTTAACTGTAACCTGAAGTACAAAGTAAGTTAAGATTGCGCCTACAGCCTACAAACTGTGGTTGTGGAAGAGGCTTCGTGAAGATGTCAGCAAGTTGATATTTGGAGGAGATGAACTTGATACAAAGTAGTCTCTGTGCAACACGTTCCCGAACAAAGTGATAGTCAACCTCAATGTGTTTCGTCCTAGCATGAAACACCGGATTAGATGAAAGATATGTAGCGCCGATGTTATCACACCATAGAACTGGAGGATGACCTGGAGAGATTCTCAGCTCCCGCAATAAAGACTGTACCCATATGATCTCAGCGGTAGCATCAGCAACTACTTTATACTCAGCTTCAGTACTGCTACGAGACACGGTGGCTTGCTTGCGTGCATTCCAGGCGATCAAGTTAGGACCAAAGAACACTGCATATCCCCCCGTGGATCGCCGATCATCAGGACTTCCAGCCCAATCCGCATCAGAAAAAGCCGAAAGTTCACAAGATGGTGCAGACTGAAGAAGCAGACCATACGAAGCAGTAGAAGAGACATACCGCAGAATGCGCTTAACTGCCGAGAGATGAGTGGTACGAGGTGCATGAAGGTACTGGCACACACTTGACTGCATAAGAGACATCAGGTCTGGTGATAGTGAGATATTGCAGACCACCCACAAGATTGCGATACTCAGTGGCGTCATCAGTGGAAAGAAGATCTCCATCAAGGGCAGACAACCGATCAGTTGTAGACATCAGGGTGATAGCATGTTTGCATTTGAGCATCCCAGCACGGCGCAACAGATCCATGGAGTACTTTTTCTGATTCAAAGTCAGCCCAGTAGCAGGCGGCCCAGCCGCCGCTGGCCCAGCAGCAGGTGGCCCAGCGACCACGGCAGCTGCACCGGCCAGCCCCGCCTTGGCTCCTCGTGGGTCGGCTCCGTCGTCGGCTGGGCTCGGCAGCCTCGTTTTGGCAACGTCGCCTGGTACTGAGTCTGATGACTCTAGCTCCTCCAGCCCCGTCTCGGCCACGACGCCTTCGTCTCCTGTGGCCAGTCCCGTAGCACCGGCGCCGTCCGCTGTGGTCCATCATCGACCACACACGCGCAGTCGGTCTGGTGTTTTTTGCCCCAAGGAACGCACAGACGGGACTGTGGCGTGGCTTGCTGCATGTGTGGCTCATGCTGCTGTGGATCCAACGGCAGAGCCGCGTCATTTTCAGGCTGCACTGGGTATTCTTCACTGGCATGCTACGATGGAGCAGGAATTTCAGGCTTTGCTGAAAAATGGCACTTGGCAGCTTGTTCCTCCGGTCCCTGGCGTCAACATCATTGACTCCAAATGGGTGTTTAAGGTGAAACGACATGCAGATGGTTCTATTGAGCGCTATAAGGCACGGCTGGTTGCCAAGGGTTTCAAGCAGAGGTATGGTCTTGATTATGAAGACACGTCCAGTCTAGTTATCAAGCCTACTACTATTCGTATACTGTTGTCTCTTGCTGTTACTCGTGGTTGGTCTCTTCGTCAGCTTGACGTGCAGAATGCCTTCCTCCATGAAGTTCTTGAGGAAGAGGTTTATATGCGTCAACCACCGGTCTTTGTTGATCCTACACGTCCACATCATCTCTGTCGTTTGGTCAAGGCGTTGTATGGACTTAAGCAGGCACCTCGTGCATGGCATGTACGCCTTGGTTCTGCTCTTCGGGCTCTTGGGTTTATCTGTTGACGTATAATGTGTTGCCTAGTCTCTTCCATCAGATCGGTCTTTTGATTGCATTGGCTAGAGCATGCACTTCTACATGGTATCAGAGCCAAGAGGTCTTGAGTTCAAGACCCGGCTGGCGCAATTAAATTGCAGCACACTTTCGGTCCACGTTTAGGCCTGAGGGAGCCACATGTAAGGGGGAGTGTTGACGTATAATGTGTTGCCTAGTCTCTTCCATCAGATCGGTCTTTTGGTTGCATTGGCTAGAGCATGCACTTCTACATTATCCCCTCCACTGCTGACACGTCACTGTTCCTCCTTCAGCGTCCTGAGGTGACGATGTATCTCTTGGTGTACGTCGATGATATCATCATTGTCAGTTCCTCTAATGCTGCTGCTGATCGCCTTGTGTCCGCATTGAGTGAGGAGTTGGCTGTCAAAGATTTGGGTGCTCTGCATTACTTTCTTGGTTTGGAGGTGTCACGACTACGTATATACAGTCTAACATTCTACACTAGTTCGGAGGGAGTACTAACCTTGTCGTTCACATAGGTGGCCCAGAAGCGAGCGACGGCATGGCCGTAGGGGTCTGTAGGGAGGATGGGCTTGCCGTTGCCGGGAAGGCCGAGGGCTCGTCGAGGTACTCCACGATGAGCAGCGACTCACAGATGGGCTTGCCGTTGTGGATGAGGACGGGCACCTTCTTGTACAATACAAAGGGTTGGACGCGATGAGGAGGTCGCTCTTGCACCCGCGGTCCTCCGGGAGGTACTCGTAGCTCAGCCCCTTTACGGCGAGCGCTATCTGTGCGCGGAGCACGAAGGGGCTCACCCCGGGCGCCCACCACCCCAGCAGCTTCAGCCCTTCACCGCCGGCCATCAACGTTTCCCCGTCTTCCTCCCTGATGCTCCTGTCCTGTATATCTGTTGCTTAAGTGTATGAGTATATGGCAAGGCCCGAACTGCGATCTTTATAAGCACGAGTGGCGAAGATGAAATCGTCTTGGAAGGAAACAAGACAAAAGCTGGACTATGAGGCAGGAAAAACTAATTATAGGAGAGCATGTTGATGCGCCACCTCCCCACTCCCCACCTACCGCACCTTCTGGGCTTCTATCCTCCACCTCCAGCTAAAAATTTCAACAATGTGCCAGATACAAAAAATGCTACACCTACGGTAGAACTTACGTGCTCCTTCTGCAAATTTGCTAAACCAATCTCTCAACCCCAAATTCAACTGGGTGGGCCCCACCTGTTAGCTATGCTGCAGAGTAGTTAGCTCCTCCCAGGATCAACGTAGAGGATCAAAGAGCAGCTAAGAGAGAAGATGCATCAGCTGCACATATATGTAGCTGTATCAGTGAACACACACATGCATTAGTGATAGAGAAGCTCACGTTCTACTACTTAGAAGCTTGCACTCTCGGAAAAAAAACTACTTAGAAGTTTTATTGCTGAGAGTGGCGTTTTGGCGCATGTGAGCATGCGCTTCTGGTTTTTTAAATGTGTTTTAAACGTATTTTGAAATATCAAAAAATTTCAAACAAAAACCTGGCACGTACATCTCAATATTGTACTCCCTCCGGTCCTTTTTACTCTGCACATTGGATTTGCCGAAAGTCAAACTTAGCTAAGTTTGACCAAATTTATATTAGAAATTATTAGCATCTATAATATCTAATAAATATAATATGAAAATATATTCCGAGATGAATCTAATGATGTTGGTGTTGTTATGTAAATGTCAACAATTTTTTACATAAAATTGGTCAAAGTTGGATGAGATTGACTTCAGACAAATCTAATATGCAAAGTAAAAAGGACCGGAGGGAGTACATGCTCACGACGTCTTTTGGCGAAAACCGACAACTTATGTGTCACGGGTGAAAAAGACAAAATCCGATGTCAAAAATGCTTTTCACAAGACATCCTTTTGTCTTTTTTACACGTGTCACAAAAAATATCGGTTTCCTCTGAAAGTTAACGTGCACACATATAATGTCGAGATGTATGCGGCAAATTTTTGTTTGAAATTTTTTCACACTTTAAAATATATTTTTCACATGCGCGCTCCCTAAAGCACCAATGGATTTCCGCTTTATTCTAAATATACTAAATCTAGCTAGGTTTGATTTATCCTGTTTTTTTGACTTTTTTCAATCAGTGAAAATCTATCCAATTGGAGGCTGCCACGTTATATAGTAGGGGATCTGGTTGTGTACGTTTTGGGTGGCTTGTGCGATTTTACCTGAGATCGGGGACATTCCTTTTGTGTGTCGTTTCTGCATGGGCGGTTTGACTGCGTTTCCAGATGGGTGTGCATGCCTGCCGTTCCGTTTTGTTCTGGTGCGGCCACGTCATTGATTGTTTTTTTTTCCAAGTCATTGATTGTTTTTTTTTTGGAATGCTGGATTTCTCAAGTTAGTCGGTTGCCGCTTATCGGGCAGTTTCTGGAGCCATGATAGGTCAAGCAGTTTCTGGACGATGATAGGTCGGCCGCCGCTTACGGGTGTATAAATACTCATCGACTCGAGCACGCTCCCACCTCCCCTCCCACCTCTAGCTTTGCAGTTGCGTGCTCCTACATGGATTCCGTGCGGTTTGCCATAGCTTCGGCACTCTTTCTGGCGGCGGCCGTGGTGATGGCCGCCGACGACGCACACCTGATGGACGACCGACTTCAAGGTGGCGCTGCCTAACCAGGCGTCGCTTGACGGCTGGACCGCGCGCGACGGCGCCTGCAGGTTCCCCGACGCGGTGTGCAGGGGCGAGCGCCTCACGTCGCTCTCGCTCTCCGCCGTCCTGCTCAATACCGACATCCGCGCTGTCGCGGCCACCATGCTGCAGCTCAGCGCCTTCAAGAGGCGGCGGCCATCGTCAGCGATGCGCTCGCGGCGGCGGCCGGCGGCTGGTGCGGCAGCAAGCTCGAGGTGCTCAACCTCTCCGGAAATCCCGTGCTGCGCGGTTCCGTCGCCAACGTGGCCGCGCCCTCCGGCTACTGCAGTCAGTTGAATCTATTCGGTGATGCGGTTGGTGCAGACAAGGACGCTGGCGGTGGCGGGCAGGGGTT